TTTTTTTTTTTTTTTGAAAATAAAGCTGAAACTCACCAGGAAAGTTCTTGTCGGCTTATACCTTATGAAGCACAGTACGGTAGCGGCGTTAAACATAAATAAAATACTGGAGATAACTGCGAGATAATAGGGACAACCATCATAAAAAACGCATATGATAGCAAATATCATCTGTAACTCATCACTGCTATTTGCTATTAGATGATGCGTTTTCGCATCTTTATGCAGTCTTAACGCTTTTGTTCTGATGCAGAAACAAACCAGCTGAAGTGCAGCACCCAAAGCGACCAGTGTGAGAGTTAACAGGGTTCGCGCTTGCATCAGCACTACTTGATTTGTAACCACTTGTTCAATCTGAAAGTTTTTAGCTCATGTAAATGCGCCATCTAAACGAACTAAAGCAAGAAATAGTGTTTTTTGTGACCTGAAAATAAGCATCTTGGAAACGCAGCCGTGATATGCTTTGGTTAGGAAGCTGCTTTTTTAAGTGTTTGTTCATTAATTTTTCGAACTTATGAAATTTTTTTTTTGTAGTAACTGAGTATCTTTTATGCAATATTTTGCCGTAGCAGAATTCTCTCGATTTAAAGGATGTAAGTCTGAAAATCCAAACTTACATGGAAGGATGGTGAATTGGCAGTTCCCTTGGACGTTGAACTCTCCAGCATCTGATTTACATTATGAATATTTGCAGCCGTGCGCACTGGAATGAGTTTTTTGTATCAGTTATACGTGTTCAGGGTCGAGTGCACGGATAGCAAAGTATTCCTCGTTGTACTTTACGCTTTTTTGCTTCTGCATTTTTGTTTCTTCCATTAAATCTATTATGGAAAGATAGTTGCTTGCAGTTTGTCTCTCCTTTCTATATTAAGTTTCTTGTCACAATCGCTGATTGAATTCTCTAATTTTTGAAAGTGCTTTAGCCTTTTCATCCATTTCATCAAAAGTCACGGGTTTCTTTTTGCAATTATGGACAAGATTTTTCCAAACAATTATCACTTCAGTAATGTGGCAAGGTGAGGGCACACTCTTTTATATCCAAAATTTCACTTCCTCTTACTCAAAATAGCGTCATCTTCTTCACTGTAATGTAATATGGCAGATGTACACTAATGACAAGCATTTCGAAATGAGAAAGCCCAATATTGTTGTACTTGGTGTGTGCCGTTACTTTTGTAACACCGAATGTCCCACTTTTCTAGATAGAACGACTATGATCTTGTCGAATTATAAGAAAATGTGCTAAATCGTCCCCCCCCCCCCCCCCCTTTCCCCCCCC